CTTTAGGTTAGTATGTTGTAAATTAAACATATTTTGAATCTATATCGAACTTATAAAATTTAATCATAACGACGTTTGTTGACACTGCCGCTTTAGGTGTTCCCATTGAGACGTAAGCAAAGAACCTTTATCAATATAACACCGAGAAATTTTCAGGAAGATTAAGGTCAAACTTATTATCCGCAAATCTGGTTTCATATCCCGAGAGTTACCCAGAAACTTTGACATGTTATATTGGGTTCGCATTGCAGGATCCGAGTAAATTCAAATTTATGCTGAAATGTTTCGAATTTGTGATATAATATCTTTCTCAACCAATAGAGGGCAGCAGCAACAAATTGCATACGCTACCAGAAAGCTAAGTAAAAGTTGAAAAAATATATTTGAGGTTAAGTATGAATAGAATAAAACATTTAAACGCTTAAATAAAGTATATATACGCGAAAAGTACCTAAAAAGTATAGTTACTATGGCTGTTATCCAATCAATTTTGTAATAGTCGAATTAGAAATGTCACTACAAATTGCCTCAGAAACAACAACTACGTATCGCTAAAGTAGTCTACTCAGGACAATTATAACAAATGAATAAAATCTATATAAATACAATAGTACTGGCTGTTGTATATTATCTATATAAATACAATAGTACTGGCTCTTGTATGTTATCTATATAAATATAATAATACTGCCTGTTGTAACTACTTCGCAGGGTGTGGTTGAATCTTCACCAAAATTGGTATGGAGATTCATTAGGTCTATACGGGAGTACATAAAAATTTTCAGTTTTGCAGTTTGCGGTTTTTATGGTTGTTTTTGCGTTTTTTTTAACACTACTTAGTCCCCTGTAGATGGATCTTCACCAAATTTGGCATAAAAGTTTGCTGTATTCATGCGGAGATACATGCGAACTTGCGGTTTCACATTTTGTGTTTTGCGGTTTTTATGGATGTTTTAGCAATTTTAACAAATACATATTAAAGGAAGCAATTTCTCATGCCCGGAGATAACCTTTCATTAATCACGAATTTACATAATTTCCAGCTAGTATAGCAATAAGCATTTAGATACATTTTTAACAATTCGAAAATACACGTTTATTATATATATTTATATGGATACTAGTTTGGACATTACAGATATGGGTTGGACTGAAGAGTACGTGTGAAATGTCTAAAGTAGTATCCGTATAAATATGGTATTGTTCCATCAGTGTGGATTTACACTGTAAATTTACACGTTATTGTGTATTGACCTTTGTTATGTGTTAACCATATTCATAAGTCATTGAGTAATAATGAGCTGTTTCACATTGAGTTCAGTACCTTTAATGAATGACTCTGTAAAAATGTTTTGCTTACAACTCTGTATGATAAGGTTGTCAACAACACATTGGAAATATTGAATGACCCTCCTACTGTGACTTTTGATATGCCACATAAGAAAGTGATACTGTTTTCACAGTTTATGGGTAAATAGTCTTATAACATAGACAAGGAACTTAAGAAATGATTTCATAGAAAGTATTTACAAGTGAGACTTAATTATATGTTTAAAACATAAGACAGATTAAGAGCTAAGTTTCTGCTTTTAAAGACAAAATTAACTTCCTGTAGAAGTCCTCTGTAAAATGTCTCTACTCATGCCCAAGTTTCAAGTGGATCCAAAGCTTCAGCAGAGATACAAAGACTATCAGACGTTAAGACTATAACCCACTAACTTCAGCAAACACACGTTGGCTGTACAGCGATATTCAGCCATCTAAAGAACAGCCCACAACCATTTTACAAGCAAGCAATGAAAATAACTTACGTACATAGAAAACCATCGCCATTCGACTTAGGAAACTGGTTGTTGCTGGTTTTTGTTTTTTCGTGACAGAAATTTAGTTTTTAAAGGAAGGGGGCTTTCCTCATCTGGGGTGTTCAGGGATATTATTGTCCCCCTTCGCCCCGCTCGCGGTAATCTTATTTGTTATATATCCGTGAGTTTTTTAAATTTTGTTGGAGAGGTTGGTTGTACTTTTAGCTAGTGGTATTTAAAAAGAGAGGCAGAGAAGCAGAGAGATGTCCGGTGGGTTCCAAAGAAGCAGAGAGATGCCCGACGGGTTCCAGAGAAACGGATAGATCTCCGGTGGGTTCCAGAGAAGCAGGGAGATGTCCAGTGAGTTACAGAGAAGCAGAGAGATGTCCGACGGGTTTCAGAGAAGCAGAGAGATGTCCAGCAGTTTCAGAGAAGCAGAGAGATGTCCGGCAGGTTCTAGAAAAGCAGAGAGATATCCGGTGGGTTCAAAGAAGCAGAGAGATGTCCGGCGGGTTCCAGGGCAGATAATATGACCAAGGCTGTTGACGTGAAGTTGTAGAGAAGAAGCAAGGCGACGAACTTTCGACAAAGCAATCAACAAGGTTCTCATGATCAGGGTCACGAGATGGCTGGGATCTG